ATCAGGGCTACATAGTGAGACTCTGTCTTTAAAACACACACACACACACACAGGCACACACGCACAGTATGGGTGCACACATAAAAGCCAAGTGTGGTACACACCTTTAATATCAGAGACTATGACAGGGATCTCTGAATATGTGTTCAACCTGACCTACACAGTGAGTTTCAAGCTATCCAAGGCTACATAATGAGAGACTGTTTCAAAAATGTGTGTGTGTGTGGGGGTATGTGGTTAGTAGTTGGTATAGTAATTATAGCAGTAGTAGTTGTAGTAGTTGTTGTTGTAATAGTAGAGAATGAAAGCATTAGAGGTAGAGGTAATACTTCCATTTATCATCATTTGACTAATGTACAATGTTATGAATAATTCCTCTTCATAGGAAAAAATGCTGAATAAAATGTGTGATATTGGAAACTGGATTGATGGCATATCAATTAAGAACATTTTTTTTTGTTGTTCTTGTTTTTGTTTTTTGAGACAGGGTTTCTCTGTGGCTTTGGAGCCTGTCCTGGAACTAGCTCTGTAGACCAGGCTAGTCTCGAACTCACAGAGATCCGCCTGCCTCTTCCTCCCGAGTGCTAGGATTAAAGGCATGCACCACCACCGCCCGGCAATTAAGAACGTTTAACTGTACTTCCAGAATACCTGGGTTTGTTCCCAGTATCTACATGTTGACTTACTACTGTCTAACTCCAGTTTTAGAGGATGGTTAAAGCCTTCTTCTGACCATTTTGTGCACAAGGCACGCATATGGTGCATATACACATATGCAATCAAAACATTCATACATATAAAATAAAAGTTTTTAAAAAATCTTTAATGATCCATCACTGTACTGTCAAAAAACTAAAAATGAAATTACATTGGGAATGCAGATGTTAGCTAGCTTTTTGTTGCTTTTGTTTTTCAAGACAAAGTTTCTTTGTGTAGTCTTAGCTGTCTTGGAACTCACTCTGTAGACCAGGCTGGCCTCTAGCTCACAGAGATCCACCTGCCTTTGCCTTCGAGTGCTTGTATTATAAAATTGTGTACCACCAGTGTCTGGCACAGATGTTAGCTAGCTTTCCTAAAAATCTTTCATCCCGTGGAATCTGCTCAAATTTTTCGTTTGCTTGTTTTTTTTTAACTTATTTTTATAGTATAATGGAGCCCGAGAAACAAAGTCCAGTTTTTAAAGGACTCCAAAAGAACTTCTGTTCATTCAAGAAAGTTGACATTTTGCTATCAGTCTTGGCAAGGGGGTCTCACATATGGAGAAGGATGTCTAACAAGGCCTGTTGCAGTTATATTTCCCATGTGGTCTTGGAAAACTTTCTAGCCAACTGTCAGCTCTTTGGTTTTTCAAGACAGGGTTTTTCTGTAGCTTTGGAGACTGTCTTGGAATTCACTCTGTAGACCAGGCTGGCCTCGAACTCATAGAGATCCCTCAGTGATTAAAAGCTCTTGCTCTGCAGTCTTAAGGACCAGAGTTTTAATCTCACCACCATATTACAAGCTGGGCTCCCTGCAAATGCCGTGGACTCCGGCTTTAGGAAGTTGGAAGACACTACATAATGGCAATGGCCTCTGTGCTTTTAGATATGTGCAACTGCACACACATACATGCACTTAAGCAGATACACACATTCAAATAAGTGACTAAAAGAATAAAAATTACAAAGCTAGAGAGGTGGCTTAGCAGTTAAGAGCACAAACTGTTCTCGCAGAGGATTTAAGCACATACATTGACTCAAAACTACCAACTTGCAGGAATCTGACACCCTCTCTGGATTCATGTGCACATACCCACCTCCTCATACACACACATGGAAGTGTTTGCTTATTTTGTTCTATTTTTAAATAAAATTCGGGAATCAGATATTGATCAGAGATTCGGCCTGTGACCACCTCTCTCCCCTTCTCCGATTCAAAAGGACCCCACAAATCTTTCCAAGCCCCTCATTACTGCTTCCTTGTATGTATCTGTATCTTGGGTCTTCCAAAACCTCTATGGTTAATTCTGTTCAAATCACTAACTTTGTCTCTTGGTTCAAGTTTAACCTTATTGGCAGTCTCAGAGTGTCAGAGCAAACAAATATCTTTCAATATATACAATATATACACAATGAAAATTTAAAAATAACACAGAAAAATTGGATAATGAGTGAGATCCAGGAAAAAATAAGATAGTGATCCCTAGAGATTGCAGAAAGTTTATACTGTAGTATTATGTTTCATATTAATAGAGATAATTGAAATTAAAGGTTGAAGTAGGAATGTGAATTGAGGCTTTCTTTTTTTTTTCTCTCTCTCTTTTTTTTCTTTTGGTTTTTCGAGACAGGGTTTCTCTGTGGCTTTGGAGCCTGTCCTGGAACTAGCTCTGTAGACCAGGCTAGTCTCGAACTCACAGAGATCCGCCTGCCTCTGCCTCCCGAGTGCTGGGATTAAAGGCATGCGCCACCACTGCTCAGCCGAGGCTTTTTTAAAACATGATCAGATGGAGAACTTGGAAAAAATAGAACTACTTAATAAAGGATTAAATGATAAATCAGTTGATATACCTAAAGAGAAAATACGTGAACTAGAAGATAGCAGTGAAGATATCACCGAGTCAAAATGAGCTACCATGCCCCTGTAATTCCAAGACTGGGGGACTGAGGAAGGAGGAGGCCAGCCTGGGTTACAGAGCCAAACTCTATCTCAGAAGGAATAAACAATAAGATACTGCTGAGAAAGCAGCATGAAGATATAAAGAGGCAGCTTTTAAAAAATAGATGATTCGGGGTCGTGGTGACACACGCCTTTAATCTCAGCACTCAGGAGGCAGAAGCAAGCAGATTTCTGTGAGTGTGAGGCCAGTCTGGTATACAAAAGGAGTTCCAGGACAGGCAGGGCAAACACAGAAACCCTGTTTTGGGGGGAAAAAAAAAGGAATGAAAGAAAAAAGAAAAGAAATCCAGTTAATCCCAAGAAATAAATAAGATTAGCTTTAACAAGTCACAGTGGAAACGGCAGCCCAGTGACAGAAACCTTAAAAGTTCTAGAACCAACAGACTGCTATAAAAATAATTTTCATTAATCTGACAACTGATTTCCCAGCTATAGCAACAGAAAGCAGAGGACATTGGAATTCTGCCTTGTATACTGAGACAAAACATCTGTCAGCCTGAAATGGCATACTCAGTAAAATGCTTTCACAATAGACATTTTGAGACAAAAATCTTAGTGCATTTGCTACCAACAGAACAAGATTCCAAGGGATATAATTCAGATAAAGAAAACTTAACTCAAATAGAAAGCTCAAGGTGATTTGCAGTGGCCGTATAATATTTAAATCAAATACATATTATGGTTCACATTGTACTAGTATAGAATGCTTTATGTTTCAAAATTTGCTTCATTAACTGAATCTGAACATATTTCTGGACATGTGTTGCATGTAATATTTCATGTTGATTTGATTCAAGAAGTTTGTACAACTGAGTCAAAAAAGGAATTTCTAGTACATGTAAAATTATTTTTAAGAGGACTTTACCAATTTACATTTTACTCAACAGATTGTGCTGGCTTTATTTACAAATGATTGTTTGGACCAGTTTTTTTTTTTTTTTTTTTTTTGGTTTTGCTTCTCTTGGTTTGACATTAAAAATATCTTCTGGGGCCAGGCCTTGGTGACACTTGCCTTTAATCCTTTAATCTCAGCATTTGGGAGGCAGGGGGAGGTGGAGCTCTGTGAGTTCAAGGTCAACCTTGTCCACAGAGTGAGTTCCAGGACAGGCTCCAAAGCAACGAGTGTCCTGAGTGGGCTGGAGAGATGGCTCAGTGGTTAAGAGCACTGGCTGCTCTTCCAAAGGTCCTGAGTTCAATTCCCAGCAACCACATGGTGGCTCACAGCCATCTGTGATGAGGTCTGGTGCCCTCTTCTGTCATGCAGGGATACATACATAATAAATTAATAAATCTTAAAAAAAAAAAAACAAGTCATTGTAAAAAAAAAAAAGTGTTCTGAGTTTGAGCCATAGCCTAGCCCCTCCTCAAAAAATTTTTGAGTAGATGAGAAAATGTTAGTTGAGTTGCATTCTTTCTAACAATATTTCTAACTTTCTAGAATGTAGTCTTTAATTTTTCTTTATTCCATTTTATTATTAACAAATAATACACTTATCTTGATTTTTTTGTTTGTTTGTTTTTGGTTTTGATTTTTGAAACGGGGTTTTACAGTATAGCCCTAGGTTGGTCTTAAACTCACAGAGATCCACCTGTCTCTGAGTCCCCAGTGTTTGTATGTGCCACTACACTAGTCCATTCAGCCATTTAAAGAAATTGCAAGTAGAGCTGAGGAGATGCAAGCATGAGGATTTGAATTCAAATCCCCAAACCCTATGTAAAGCCAGTCACCGTAGCACACATCTGTAACCCCAGTGTTTCTACAGTGAGATGAGAGGCTAGAGAATCTCCTGAAAGCTTGTTAGGTCGCTAGCCTGTGTATGTAGTGGCAGGTAAGATACTCTTTCTCTGACAAGACAGAAGCAAGGAACAGTACCAGATGTTGCCCTTTGACCTCCATGCATGTGCCATGGTACACCACATGCACATACGTGCATACGCATACGCACACGCATCATATACAAACAAATGACAAATAGCCAGCCAAGCGTAGTAGTGGCTATTCTTGTAAGACTAGTATTTGAGGCTGAGGCGGAGGATTTCTGAGTTGAGCTATAGTATGAGACCTGTCTTAAACAGAAAACTACACACATACTTGAAAAAGAAAAGAAATGCCATTTTTTTGTTCTTGTTTGTACTCTTGTCTTACTGCTGTGGTACTGTTATGTTGTTTTCTAACTCTGCTATTTATTCCAGCCAGCCAACAGGACAGAGTGAATAAATGTGTTTTGTACAAGTCATTTTAAAGAGGGAAGACAGTTAATCTTTTTGGGGATTCCATGTTTTAACATGAGCTGGAATGTAAGATGTCATTTTTTAACTTTTTTTCTGTTCATTTGCTTTTTCAGGTGCAAGTGAAAGTGTAGGAAAACACATGCTTGAAGCTTGTAACAACAACCTGGAGATGGCCGTCACTATGTTTTTGGATGGTGGAGGAATTGCTGAGGAGCCCAGTACCAGTTCAGCAGGTGTCTCTGCAGTCAGACCACACACAGAGTATGAATTTATTATTTATTGTAGCAGTTACTCTTTGCCTAAATTAACTAGTTGCATTTTTATCAAAGTTAGGTACAGTTTTGAAAAACATTTAAGGTTGAAAGCCTCTGAAAAATACATGTAAATTTTTGTGTTTACTATACCTTAAATTCTCTAGAGCATGCCATCTTGTCTCTTCATTTATTTATTTATATATTTATTTATTTTCATCTTGTTTCTTTAATCCTCATTTTAGTCTTCAAACGAATGTGTGGGTTAAAGGTGGGCAGGCGGGCAGGATACGACAGCTTGATTATAATTGGTCTGAAATTGGGGTTATGTACTCCACAGCCACCAGCTATACAACAAAAAGAATTTGTTGGCTTAGGATTTTGCTCAGTTGATAAAGTGTTGCCTAACATCCAAGAAATTTTGGGTTTAAGCCTCAACACTGGATAAACCAGACTTGGTGACACATGCTCGTAGTCCTAGCACTTAGGAAGTGGAGACAGGAGCAATCTTTAGCTACGTAGCAAGTTTGAAGTCATTTTGTTTTTTGTTCTTTTTAAAGAAGTTTGGTATTATTATTATTTTCTGTCTCAGGAAACTAGAGCATGGCTGTTTTTTCCTAAGCTACACCACAGTTAAAAATCAGGTATCTTTTTCTTCCAGAGGACCTGGGTTCAATTCCCAGCATCCACATGGTAGCTCAAAACTGTAATTTCAGTTCCAGGGGCTTTGACACTCACACAGACATGCATGCAGACAAAACACCAATGCACATAAAATAAAAGTAAATACATCATTTTAAAAAATCCTTCATTCTTTTTTTGTTTGTTTGTTTGTTTTAGTGTAGCCTTGGCTGTCCTGGAACTTGCTCTGTAGACCAGTCTGACCTCAAATTCACAGAGGTCTGCCTGCTTGCCTCTGCCTCCTAAATGCTGGGATTAAAGGTGTGTGGCATCACTGCCCAGTTCAGTTCTTTATTCTTTAGTTACCTGCCTAATCACTAATGCATCCCCACTGTATATGTTTGGTTTTTTTCTAGCCTTTTATATTTGATTAGTAAGAGTTTGCAATAAATACCTAACTTTTGAGCAAAATTTCATCAGTCTTTGGAAAGTATTAGGCCCGAACCTTGTTGGGACTACTCTAGGCACATGTCTCTGCTCTCAGATGGCCATTGAGTTTTTTCTTTGTTTTGAGATACCATTGCTGTGTAGCCTAGGCTGGCCTTGAATTCATATCTTCCTGTGTGTTAGGATTCCAGGTTTGCCCACAATTCCTGACTAAGCATTAGCTTTAACAACAACAACCAAAAACAAAACAAAACAAAAAACGTTAAAAGGGGCAAGGCTTAGTAGCCTGTGCTTTTAGTTCCATCACTCAGGAGGCAGAGGCTGGAATGGTCTACATAGTCCCTGTCTTGAAAAACAGAACCAAACCAGAAAAACCCTTAATTTAAAAGTCCCTACGTAAGACTTTAATACTCTTAGTCTTTTGTAATTCTGATAATTTATAATATGAGAAACAAAGGAGCCATTTTAAGTACAACAGGCAAAGGGCCAGGCTTTTATTTTTATGAAATCAGATATAATTTAAGAACCAGGTCATATACAAGTATAATTGTTCCTTTGTTGAGTTAGTTTCAAATTAATGGACTATTGTTTTTACATGCATTATGAACTTTAAAGATCATTAATAGCTTACAAAGTTTTTGCTTGTTTTTTGTTTTCTGTTGACATTTGTCTTAAGTGTGATCCCATTCCCTAACATGGCTCAGAGTTTTAATAGAAATCAATATTGAGCCAGATGATATGTTATGCACCTTTATTACAGCCCACTGGAGGCAGACAAGTGGATCTCTGAATTCTTAGATTATTCTTGCCTGCATAACACATTCCAGGCTAGCCTGCTCCAGTAAACAAACAAACAAACAAACATTTTAAAAATTAGTTGATAGAAACGTCAATAGTAGATATTTGCAGTTGATTTGTGTGTGTGTGTGTGTGTGTGTGTGTGTGTGTTTGACTATACCTGAAATAGTAGTTTTTGTTTTGAGATCAGGTTTTTTTCTGGCTGACCTGGAACTCACTATGTAGACCAGGCTGACCTCACACTCAGAGATCTGTCTGCATCTACTTCTGGGTGATAGGATTAAAGGTGCTCCACTATGACTGGCAGTTTGGCTTTTATTTTTGTTTTAGTGCCTTTGACAGCATTGTGTGCATGTGCCTGTGTTGAAAGATGTGTTGAAACCCAGGGCCTCACCATTGCTGGGCAAGTACTCTGCCATTAGTTAAATCCTAGCCCTATAGCATTTATTTTTACCTTTTTGAGGTAGCTTTTCATTGCTTTGTCTAACCTAGTCTCAAACTCCTTAGCTCCAGAGATTCTTTTGACTCAGCCTTTTAAGTAACAAATATTTCTCATAAATGAGTATCTTTTCCTATTTAGTTGTATCATGATTTGGCTAACTTATGTGCTAACTGATGAACTCCTAATTCCTTAACTAGAATTTCCCTTCCAAATCACCTTCTGTTTTTCCACTCAATGTAGTTAACGTCGCCAAACATCTTCAGATGTACAGTAATTGAGTCTTTATAGGTATTTTTTTTAAAAGATGTTCGTGTTCATACCTATGTGTGTATTAGTGCCCATGGAGGCCAGTAGAGAGTGTATGATTTCTTAGAACTAGAGTTACAGGTTTTTGTGAATGATAGGATCAAAACTCATGATTGAGCATGCAACAAGCCCCCTTAACTACTGAGCCATCTCTCCATCCTCAGGACTATTAATTTATTTGAGATATTTCATTGGAGTGCAGTTAAGTAGTAAATTGTCTTAGACTGAGGCAATTTTACACATACCATGTGAAGTACAGTACCAATTAAAAAAAATTTACTTGTATAAAAGATGTTTTTTAAAGCTTGGCATGATAGTGCTCACACCTGTAATCCTAACACTTGGGATGTGGGGACAGGAATATAAAAAGTTCTAGGGCAGTGATGGCTACATAACAAGTTCAAGGCCAGCTTGGGTTACATGATACCCTATTTCTGATGTGGAATGTCTTCCTCTATATGTGTTGCGTTTATTGGTTAATGAATGAATCTGCTTTGGCCTATAGCTGGGCAGAATATAGCCAGACTGGAAGAGATATAGAAAGAGTAGGCGGAGTCAGGGAGACGCCATGTAGCTGTCCAAGAAGTAAGAGGTAACAAACCATGAGCCTTGTGGTATGATACAAAATAAAAGAAATGGGTTAATTTAAGATATAAGAGCTAGCAAGAAATATGCCTGAGTTGTTGGCCAAACAGTATTGTAATTAATATAGTTTCTCTGTGATTATTCAGGTCTGGGTGGCCAGGAAACGCAAGAGAAGTCTCCAGTTACATATTTCAAAAAAATTTTTATTGTTAATGCTTTTAAAAGTTCTTAAGGGGTCCTTCCTTACTCACCTTCTCCATCTCCTTACTCTCCCTGAAATGGAGTCTTCCTTTGTTGTCCCCGACTGGACTCTTGGACTCACATGACTACCTACTTCAGCCTTCAAAGTAGTAGTACTATAGACATGGGTCACCAAAACCAGCAAAGTATTTACTAAACTTCCTTCTACAGATAGATTGTTTCTTCAGGTCATTGAAATTCTGCATATGAGCAGTGACCTATGTCCAGTAGGAAAGAGCAGCTGGGTGTGGTGGCACATTCCTATAACCCCAACACATGGCAGGTGAGACTCCTACCACTGAACCACGAATGGTTAATCCCAGCACTTGGAATGTTGAGACAGGAGAATCTCATGTTTGAGGCCAGCCTGAGTTATGTAGTAAAACTTAAAAACAAAAAGTAGGAAAGAATATTGGACATAATCTTGAATTATTCTTTCATCATTTTTCTTATTATAGATTTGTCTAACTGGTGGTTTTTTAATTACAGAGTATTAGTGTTCACTGACAAATTAATATTCATAGTTTTTTTCTTTAAATATAAAGTATGTCTTTGAACTCCAAGTGTTGGATTTCGAAATTCCACCTGTTAGATATTGAAAAACTAGGTCCTTGTTAGAGTTGATGGCACATGTTTGTAATTTCCACAGCCTTTGAGGTATTTTGTTTTTCTTTCTTTTTTTTTTTTTTGTTTTGTTTTTTCGAGACAGGGTTTCTCTATGGCTTTGGAGCCTGTACTGGAACTAGCTCTGTAGACCAGGCTGGTCTCGAACTCACAGAGATCCGCCTGCCACTGCTTCCCGAGTGCTGGGATTAAAGGCGTGCGCCACCATCGCCAGGCTTGTTTTTTTTTTTTTTTTTGAGTCAGGGTCTTATGTAGGTCAGACTGGCTTCAAACTCATCTGTCTTTACCTCCTTAGTTCTAGGATTAAAGGCATGCATCAACATGCCCAGTGCAACCCTAGCTCAGTTATGAGAATTGAAGTTTGAAGCCAGCCTAGTTAGAACCTGGCTCAGAAATGGGCTCCAAAAAAGTGTGTGTATGGTGGGCAAGGGGTTTTGCAGGACATGAGAACACATGGTAGAAACCATTAGGTCTAATTTAAATTGATCTCCGTATGTTTATTATTCTTTGTCTCCCCCATGTATGTGTTTGGGTATGTGGGTTGCCATATGACTTATGGGAAGGTCAAAGGACAGCTTGAGGCAGTTAGTTCTCTCCTTCCAAATGTTCTAGGGATCCAATAAGTTGGTCAGGCCTTGGTGACAAGAGCCTTTATCTAGTGAGTTATTTTGCTTGTTTATATGCATAAAATTCTTAAAATTAACTGTTATTTTCTATGACATTTAAGCCTAAAAATATTAAACACTTTTAATAATTGGTTATAACTTCAAATAAACTGATTTTAAAGGTAACATGCTATTTATTTTTATCTTTTGGTTTTTTGAGACAGGGTCTCTTTGCATATCTTTCACTGTCCTGGAACTCACTCTGTAGACCAAGCTCGCCTTGAACTTACAGAGATCCACCTGTCTCTGCCTCTCAAGTGCTGGGACTAAAAGCATGTGACACCATGCCCAGATTCTATTGATTTTATTGAGCTCTACATTTTTCTCTGCTTTCCTCCCTGCCTCTCCCCTCCATTTTAACCCTCTCCCAAGGTCCCCACGCTCCCAATTTACTCAGGAGATTTTGTCTTTTTTTACTTCCCATGTAGATTAGATCCTTGTATGTCTCTCTCAGGGTCCTCATTGCTGCCTAGGTTCTCTGGGATTGTGATTTGTAGGCTGGTTTTCTTTGCTTTATGTTTAAAAACCACTTATGAGTGAGTACATATGAGAATTGTCTTTCTATATCTGGGTTACCTCATTCAAAATGATGTTTTCTAGCCCCATCCATTTGCCTGCAAATTTCAAGATAATCATTTTTTTCTGCTGTGTAGTACACCATTGTGTAAATGTACCACATTTTCCTTATCCATTCTTTGGTCGAGGGGCATTTAGGTTGTTTTCAGGTTCTGGCTATGAACATAGTTGAGCACATGTCCTTGTGGCACAGTTGAGCTTCCTTTAGATATATACCCAAAAGTAGTATTACTGGGTCTTGAGGAAGACTGTTTCCTAATTTTCTGAGAAATCGCCACACTGATATCCAAAGGGGCTGAACCAGCTTGCATTCCCACAAGCAATGCAGAAGTGTTCCCTTTACCCCACATCCTCTCCAGCATAAGTTGTCATCAGTATGTTTGATCTTGGGCCATTCTTACAGGTGTAAAATGGAATCTCAGAGTTTTGATTTGCATTTCTCTGATGACTAAGCTCTGAAGATCAAGCTGGCCTTGAACTTAGAGATCCATCTTTCTCTGCCTCTCAAGTACTTGGACTAAAAGCATGGGACACCATGCCCAGCCCAGATCCTATTTATTTTATTATTAAGATTTTTTATTTATTTTATGTATACGGATTTATGCATGTATGTCTCTTGTATGTATGTCTGTGTGCTTGTGCATGGTGACATGGAGGCCACAAGAGGGTGTTGGATCCCTTGGGAATGGAGTTACATGAGCCGCCATATCAATGCTGGAAATTGTACCTGCCATCCCCTGGAAGAACGGCTAATGCTCTTAACCACTGAGTTATCAGCCCTAGTATAAACCACTTATCAAAATGATTTCTTCCTAGAAAAAAAATAAAGTCTATAAAAATGAATATTTTTTTAACTGAGTTATTAGTGAGTAATTATATTGAGTCTATGAAGATAAACTTTGAAGGGAATGTTTTTTGTTTTTTATTTTAATTTATTCCCAGTGTTGGGGATCAAATACAGGACAGGCATGTGTTCTACTGCTGAGCTCTATCTCTTGCTGAGAGTAGACTTTAATTTAATTAATTTATTTAAATTTTTTAAAATATTTATTTATTTATTTATGTATACAATATTCTGTGTGTGTGTGTATGCCTGCAGGCCAGAAGAGGGCACCAGACCCCATTACAGATGGTTGTGAGCCACCATGTGGTTGCTGGGAATTGAACTCAGGACCTTTGGAAGAGCAGGCAATGCTCTTTACCTCGGAACCATCTCTCCAGCCTAATTTATTTAAATTTTATTAAGATATTTATCTCTCTGTATGTATGTGTATGAATATGCACATCTTGGCATGTGTGGAGATTAGAGTACAAATTTTGAAAATCTATTTTCTCCTTCTACCTTGTGTATTGGAATCCAATTCAGCTCAGCAGACATGAGGGCGGGCATATTTACCCATTGAGCCATCTCCCTAGCTCCAGAATCACCTTTTATAGGATGTGTAATTATTGGTTGAAGGCGTAAGTCATAAACAATGCCACACCAGTTTGGAATTATGATTAATAGGGTGGTATTTATTTAAAGGGGAAAAAACTTACAGATCACCGTCAGCCCTCTGCGCAACCAGGAAGGGAGTCTAGTCGCCGGTGGAGCAGGAAGTGAAGAGAGAGAGGAGAGGGAAGTGGCCACTTTTTTAAAGGGAGAGAGACCACGCCCCAATGGGCTGGTATCTCAGCAGCTATAGGCTGGAGGAGTGGGAGGACCTCCCGCAACAATTTGTCCTGGAGAGATGGTTTGATGGTAGGAGCGCTGCTGCTTTTCTAGAGGACTAAAATCTGAATTCCAGTCCCAGGGCATGCATTCACAAGGTGTGAAGACATTGAGGCAAGCATTCATACACATAGAAAATGAAATTTTGCTGGATGTTGGTGGTGGCACATGCCTTTAATCCCAGCATTCAGGAAGCAGAGGCTGGCAGATATCTTAAATTCAAGGCTACCTTGGTCTATAGAGCTAATTCCAGGACAACCTAGGCTATTACACAGTGAAATCCTGTCTTGAACAAAAGCCAAAAAAGAAAAAAAATCTCAAAGTAAGAGTTTGTATTTTATTACATGTTTTTTTATACATTGTTATATATTTGCTTATATATTTTATATGGAAGATTCCTCTTCTGTATAATAGGATCTATTGAGTAAATACTTATAAGATTGTAACTATGGTAGCTTCTTCCTTCATAGTATAAAAAAATTTAGTGCCGATTTGTTGAAGCTTACTTTAATATATTCTTTTCTTTTAATTATTATGTGATGTAGCATTAATTATATTGATTCTAGTAAGCCTGTATTTTTCCAGTCATTTTTACTTGACTTTTTTTTTCCTTTTTGATAAATTCCTTGTCCCTAAGAATTTTGGGGGGCTGGGTGCTGGAGATGCAGTTCCACAGTTAAGAACCTGTAACTCCGGTTACAGAGGAATCTGTCACCTATGGCCTATGTGGGCTCTACGTTCACATGCACATACTCCCACATACATAATTAAACTAAAAATAAAATCTTTAAAAAAAAAAAGATTTCAGGGAGGATTGGAGGTTGCGGATTTAACTTATTGGTAGACAAATTGCCACACAAGTACCAGGGCCTGGGTTCAAATCTTAGTTGGGGGTGGGGTGAGGCAGAAAGGCCAAAATAATAACTGCAGCCTGGATGTAGCTTGGAACAAGCTTTAATCCCAGCACCTGGGAGGCAAAGGCAGTGGATCTCTGAGTTCCATGCCAGACAGGGCTGCATAGAGAGACCTTGTTAGGTTGAGATGGACAGATGGCTCAGTGGTTATGAGCATATACTGCTCTTTTTTTTAATTAATTAATTTATTTATCAAAGATTTCTGCCTCCTCCCATTTCCCCCCCTCCCCCGATCAAGTCCCCCTCCCTCATCAGCTCATATACTGCTCTTGCAGAGGGCTCAAGTTCCCTTTCTAGCATCCATGTTGGTCAGCTTGCAACCACCTATAATTGCAGCTCAGGGGAATCTGAGGTCTCAACTATGTATATATCTCCCTTATCCCCTATAATTAAGTAATAGTAATCTTTTTTTGGTTTTGGTTTTTATTTTTTTCGAGACAGGGTTTCTCTGTAGCTTTGGAGCCTGTCCTGGAACTAGCTTTTGTAGACCAGGCTGGGCTTGAACTCACAGAGATCTGCCTACCTCTGCCTCCTGAGTGCTGGGATTAAAGGTGTGCGCGACCACCTCCCGGCTAAACAATAGTAATCTTAAAAGTAACTGTCTAAGGGACCTGAGATGGAAAGAGATCTTTTTTCTTTTTACTTTCTTCTTTGTAAACCATTTTAGCTTTCTGTGGTAGATATTTTATTCTAGTTAATCTCTGTCTAGAAATCATTTACAACTTCTTTTTCTAATTACTGTAGCTTCTTAAAAAATCATGTTTGTTTCGCTTGTTAATTTGAATACATTTGCAATTTAGAAGGAAAATAGGTATCACAAAAACAGTTTTTATTTTGATATATTCGCACTTTTATTTTTAACAGAGAAGAAGTTCGTGCCCCAATTCCTCAAAAGCAAGAAATATTGGTGGAACCAGAACCTTTGTTTGGTGGTAAGTTTACTTTATTTGCTTAATTTCATTTATTTATTTATTTATTTATTTCGTTTTTTCGAGACAGGGTTTCTCTGTGGTTTTGGAGCCTGTCCTGGAACTAGCTCTTGTAGATCAGGCTGGTCTCACAGAGATCCGAGTGCTGGGATTAAAGGGGTGCGCCACCACCGCCTGGCTTTATTTGATTTTGTTATTGTCTAGGATTTTAATAAACAAACTGAAGATATGAGGGCTTACTCAGAGATTATTTTGTCATTATAGAATCAGTTCTTATCTTATATTTCTGTATTCTTCCCCAGGTAAGCTGCATTCCTTAACAGAGAATAATAACAGCAAGGAGAAAATTTACCAAAAAGAATTACTATCTTTTATTGTAAGGAAGGGTGTAACTATAGCCTTAGCTGGTCTGGATCTCAGAGACTGCCTGCTCTGTGCTCTACATTCCAAATTCCAGGATTAAACTTTTTTTTTTTGTTTTGTTTTGTTTTGTTTTGTTTTGTTTTTGGAGACAGGGTTTCTCTGTAGCTTTGGAGCCTGTCCTGGAACTAGCTCTGTAGACCAGACTGGTCTCGAACTCACAGAGATCCACCTGCCTCTGCCTCCCGAGTGCTGGGATTAAAGGCGTGTGCCACCACCGCCCGGCCAGGATTAAACTTTTGTGCTACCATGCCTGCCCCCACCCCAACATGCATTCCCTTTGGAATTGCTGGATGTCATGGAAACCAGTGTCATTATATTAAAAAGAATCTTTAATTTTATGTTGTGTCTTCTTCTAAATGTACATATTACTGATAGCTCAATATACATTTGATTTACTGCTTTTTATTGTTTTGTATCCCTTGCCTGCTCTCATTTTAATGTCTCCAAATACTGCTCTTGTTTTGGATAAAGGAGAAAATTAGTCTTTATTCCATGTCAAAAAGAAAATAAATGTTAAAAAAAATTGGGTGAATTCAGAACACACTAAAGTATGGGGTATTTAATACATTTTAAAGAACAGTAATAGTCTAATGAGTACCTGCTTCCTTTTACGAGGCAAATATTTTTAGGTATTACTTAAAAAATAGAAGATGAATCTTATTGTGGTAGGGTAAACATGGTGAAATGTATATTGTATTGAGAACACTAGTATAGAGAAACATGGTTTGAAACATGAAAATAAGGTACCTGTTTGAAGTTTTGTAGAAAACTAGGATAGGGGAAACGATTTTTTTTTTCGAGACAGGGTTTCTCTGTAGCTTTAGGGCCTGTCCTGGAACTAGCTCTTGTAGACCAGGCTGGCCTCGAAAAGAAATAATTTTTAAAAATTTGATTTATTTACGTATTTGAGACAGGGTCTCCTGTGTGTCCTTGGTTAGTCTGGAGCTTGTTATATTCTTGAACTCACAGAGATCCTCTTGCCTCTGTCTCCTGAGTGCTGGGATTAAAGATGTGTGCCACTATACCAGGCAAGAAGGGGTGTTCTTTTTTTTTTTGTTTGTTTGTTTTTGTTTTTTGTTTTTTGAGACATGGTTTCTCTGTGGCTTTGGAGCCTGTCCTGGAACTAGCTCTTGTAGACCAGGCTGGTCTCGAACTCACAGAGATCCGCCTGCCTCTGCCTCCTGAGTGCTGGGATTAAAGGCATGCACCACCACTTCCTGGCCTGCGTTAATTTTTTTTTAAAGGATTAAAAAGTTATCCACATGCTGGGGTGATGGCTCCAAGGTTAAGAACACTGATTATTCTTCCAGAGGTCCTGAGTTCAATTCTCAGCAACCACAGGTCCGTTCACAACCATCTATAATAAAATCCGGTGCCCTTTTCTGGCCTGTAGGGATACATACAGGCAGAATGCTGTATACATAATTAACAAATAATTTTTTTTAAAGTCATCTATTAAGTGTCAATACTTCCCTTCCTAAGTAGAGCACTTGCCTAGTATGTGTGAGGCATTAGGTTTAATCCCTAGCATTACAAAAATTCCATCTGTATTGAACGTAGACTTTTTTCTTGTCAGTATTCCCTAAACAACAGAACAATCATTTAGAAAGCATTTACATTATATTAGGTATAGTAAGTAATGTAGAGATGGTGTAAATTATAAAGTACATTGAAGGATGTGCCCATGTGTGCAAGTCCGTGTATTTGAAGGCCAGAGGTTGTGATCATCCTCAGTTGCTCTTCTACCTTATTCATCGAGGCAGGGTTTCTGAGTCAAACCCTGGGCACTCTGATATGGTTGGTTTCCCTGTCCAGCTTGTGCTGGGGATCCCATCTTTGCATTGTGTTGTGTTACAAAATTTTTCCTGGGAGAGACAACACACACATCAACTCACATCAGATAGGGATCCCATTACAGACCAAGTATCAATACCATCAAAGTCCAGCTTGTTGAGCTGAATTTAATTGGGGTTACTCACAAAGACATCTGCATCACCAAAGCCCGCCTAGCATGGGTAACAGTTCACAAAAGCTGAGAATCTGGAACATACTGTACAGGTTGGAGAGCGTCCTTTCCAAGCACCTCTTCCAAGGCAGCTCAGCTAGTTTCTGCTTCTTCCAGGCAGTTGGTCTGATCCAAGAGTCTTCTTTGTAGCTTAGCTTTTATTGCTAACTTTTTCAAGAAGTGGCCTAATGAATCTGGTAAGTTTCAGGGACTTCCTGAAGCTGTCTTGAGATATTTACTTTCCTGCAGGATGGACTGTTTTAATCTCTGAGTAAATTTATATATTTTCCAAGGATGGGATTACAGGTGGGTTGTTGTTATAGGGTTTCTATTGCTGTGAAGAGAAGCCATGACCACAGCAATTCTTATAAAGAAAACATTTAATTGGGGCTGGCTTACAGTTCAGAGATTTAGTCATTATTGTCATGGCATTAAGCATGGTGGTATGAAGGCAGATATGGTGGTAGAGAGGTAGCTGAGAATTCTACATCTTGTGCAGGCATCAGGAAGTGGTTTGTCTCATTGGGTGTGACTTGGACATATAAGACCTCAGAGTTTGCCTCCACAGTGACACACTTCCTCCAACAAGACCACACCTCCTAATAGTGCCGTTCATTTAGGGGCAATTTTCTTTCAAACCACTACAGTTTCTGAGCCCACTGTGCATTTTGCCTCGGTCCTGGGGATCTAGACTTAACCACTCAAATCTGCATAGTAAGTGCTTTTGCTGGTAAGATGTCATCCTGTCCTGGATATTCACCTACAGGTTGTGCATACTGAGTGATGGCGATGTTTTAGACAGCTTCATGTTATAGTAATAAGATGTTTGAGTTAGTTGTCTTGAAAAGAGAGCACTATTTTAGTTTACTTTTGGAGGTTTCAGTTAGTCCCTTTGCTTGTGGCAAGGCAGTATACATCATAGTGAACACATGGTAGAAGTTACTCAGTTCTTGGCAGCTGAGAAACAGAAAAGGTAATAAAAGAGACCAGGGTCTCATGCTCCCATCAAGGGCACAGCCCAAAGTGGCCAAAGCTTCTCTGTTAGGTTCCACTTCTCAAAGGTTCACAAAGTGCTCATAGTGCTCATAGTGCTGTGGTGGTAACCAAGCCATTATCACAAAGGCCTTTGAGATGACACCCAAATCATAGGAAAAAGGATTTCCTTCAAAGCTGTTGGATAGAGATACTCTATCCTCAATACAAAACAAGTAAAAGAAAGAGTCAAAGTCTGTGAGACCGCCTGCAAGTCAGAACAACAAATTTTATTGAGACAGAATATAGAGTTGTTTAGATTTTAGCTTGCACAACCCATTTTAAAAAGATCTATTTTATTATTCATTTATTCGCTTCATTCATTTATTCCTTACTCTGTGAACCATGCTGGTCTTGAACTCAGAAATCCACTTGTCTCTATCTCTTGAGTGCTAGGATTAAAGGTGTGCACTCACTGCCCAGCTCAAGATTTATTTTTTTTAATTTTTAGTTTTTATATGTGTGTGCACACATATAAAACACATACGTATCAGTGCAGTTACCCATGGAGGCCAGGAGAGAAAATGGGATATCCTGGAGCTGGCATTACAGGCTGTGTGTGCGCGTGCGTGCATGCTATCTGAAGCTGGCATTACAGGTAGGAGTGTGTGTCCATGCCTGTCCAAGGAGGCCAGAAGAGGTCATTAGATTCCCTGGATCTGGAGTTAGAAGTAGATGTGCACCAGTTGATTGGGTGCTAGTAACTAAACTCAGACCCTTTGGAAGAGTAGTACATTCTTAACTGTTTAACCAACTCTCACAACCCCAGTTTAGCACAAATCTTTAAGGAATCACTGCTGCTTAATTTTTGGTGTGGTATCAAAAAATATTCATGTTTATCTAAAATGATATTATTTCTTTACTACTCTATTTCTTTGTGGGGCTAGATTTTAATATTCTTATACTTGAATTTAAATAAAGCAATAGATTTAAAAAAAATTTTAAAAATCTTTATTACATATATAGTGTTCTGCTTGCATGTATACTTGCCGGCCAGAAGAGGGCACTAGATCTCATTACAGATGGTTGTGAGCCACGATGTGGTTGCTGGGAATTGAACTCAGGACCTCTGGAAGAGCAGACAGTGCTCTTAACCTCTGAGCCATCTCTCCAGCCCAAAGCAATAGATTTTAAATTATGCAGATGATATGAAAGTTCCAGTTTTTCTCTTAAGCTAGATATTATCAGAGATTTATGAAAATATGAAAACAGTGTTGCTCTTCTTACTATATTGGTTTTATCTGGTAGTCCTTTTATTCCACTAGGGCTGTCCTGGGTGTGTGGATTTCTGTTAGCTTTTTGTAGCTTAGTCTTTTTGGCCTTAATGAATAACATTCCTACTGAGTAAACAGAAAGATGATTACAGACAGAGGAATGGTGCTGGCTTATGGTAGCTAGTTTGCAAGAATGAGAGGGCACTTGGAGAAAAGGTCCCAGGGCAAGAGGTGTTGTAGCTGTAAGAGAGGCTCTTAGTGAAGGTATGATAAATGGGGAGGGAGCAAATAGCAGTGATGAGCCCAAAAAATAATAGGAGGTGGGTAGA